TACAGGCTTGAGTTGCCTCCAGAGTTATCTAAAGTGCACGATGTTTTTCATGTCTCTATGCTTCGTCATTATATCTCTGATCCATCACATGTGATACCTTCTCAACCAGTGGAAATTAATCCAGATTTGACTTATGATGAGGAGCCAGTGACGATTTTGGATTGGAAAGATAAGATTCTGAGGAATAAGACCGTGCGTTTAGTGAAAGTTTTGTGGAGAAATCACTCGGTGAAGGAAGCCACCTGGAAGACAGAGGATAGTATGAAGGAAATGTATCCATGCTTGTTCTATGATTATTAGTGGTTTGTATTAGTGTGTAAAATTTCGGGGATGAAATTTTCTTATGGGGGTAGGTTGTGACAGCTCGTCCCGAATGTATATACTAGTTTGTCCTCGATAGCGTGGAAAAGACGATTTGCCCTTTAAGTGTTGAGTTTTATGTGTGTAAATGGGCTAAGGTTGTGGACCAATTAGTTCTATTCCTAATTAATTGGGCCTAATTAGAACTAAAAGACTTAAGGTTTTGTTTGATTGGCTGCAAACTGGACCACACACACACACCAACACAAACCCGTTAATCCTCTCTCCTTATCTCCCTTTCGATTTTTTCCCATTTTCCGTACAAGTGTACTGTCAACCTCTCAACGAGCTTTACCAGTCACAGATCGAGGCTGTGAAGGTGACTTTCGTACTCCTTGCGAGCTTAGGAACTCATCCATACGCTTAGTTGGTCGTGAGAACTTGTAGAACTTGAGTTACCGAACTCCGGTGAGGGGTGATTTTTCTCCCGACGTGATCGCAAAGGTTTTAAGTGGTTTTGAGACTTAAGAAGGTAATATTTTTACTTTACTAGCACGTTGGATCAATTTTGGAATGGTTTTAACATTAGAACACTCGGGTTTATCTAGTTGCAAGTTTGGCTGATTTTCATGAGATATTTCCGGCGAGTTTCCGTTGATTTTAGGACCTTTGAAAGGTACGATCATGTTCTACTTGTTGAGGGCTTCATTTTGGTATAAAATTTGTGAAATTTGGTGTAGAAATGAGAAAGATATTGATGTTTAAAGTTTTTTCCAAAATCCGGTGATAGCAGCGGTGGCTGGTGCTGGACTCCGGCGAATCAAGGAAGAAGGAGGAGAATATTTCGTCAAAGTTGAGGGAAAATTCTACCGGCGTCAGGTATCTTTAACGACATATGCTTTTAATTAACGAAATATTCCCTAACGCCGTTAGGGATTCCGTTTGGTGTGCCAGGCACGTGCCTGCGCGTGGCGACGCATCAGGCCGTGCCTTGGCCGGCGCATGAGTGATCGAAATTTTTTTCTAAAAATATGGGGATGTTTATGGGATTGAGTAGGTCATGGTGGTATATTCAAACATCACAATTGAACGATGTATGAGAAGTTATTAGCTAGTTTGTTTATGTGCTTAAAATAACGTTTAAATAGTTGTTTCGCATATAGGTGAGACCTATCCTGAGGACGAGCGCAGTCAAGTAAGGCTCGGGGGTTACGACCCTTCCACATATCAGTGAATGGGCTTTTGGTTTTCAATATATATATACACACACACACACACTTGGTATTTTTCCCAGAAAACTTAATTAATGGTTTAATACTTTGAAATGCCATGTCAAATGCTCTTTATGTTTAATTGTGCATTATTATGACTACATATATATTGTTGCTCGATGCTGTGGACGCTCAGGTAAGCTTCAGATGAGTATATTGATGGTAGTGAGTACATTAGTGCTGAGATATATTTTGAGCTTATTATCCTGCACCCCGATGTTAGTGCTCTGCCCGAGGACAGGGCCTAGCCTTCACGTGATCGTTCACCTCCCATACCACACGCTCACCTTGGATCCAAGGTAGGTGCCAACCTGTCGTACATACCACTTTAGGTGGTTCCGACTCGTAGGTGACTTGCAATACTTCACACAGCCTTCACGTGATCGTAGCACTTGAGCGTATTTATTTACACCCAACCTGTTGTATAGACCACTTTAGGTGGTTTCGACTTGTGTGTAGAGAACTAGTTGATGAGTTATAGATCCAGTCGTACAGTTCACGTTAGGTGACTCCGGCTAGTACACCATTTCATACTGGTTTATTTCACCTGGCTTACTTATTTCTTGCTGAGATTTGACATGGTATATTTATGGAATTGTTATTTCGAATTTGGTTTTGAGATATAATCGTATATGTTATTTTCTGGGAATTATACAGGTTTTGAAAAGCTTTGTTTTTTGCCCACTCACACTTTCTATTTTGCACCCTTCCAGGTTTTAGGTAGAAGTGCTCGTTGGTGGCTCACGAGGATTTGACGGTGGTTCTGACAGATCATCATAAATGTAGGACCATCTTTGGTATTGTATAATTAGCATTTGTCTTGCTGGACTACACTTAGGATACCTACGCTCTGGTTATGTTTAGTCACACTTATTCTCGTCTTTCACCTCATTTTATCTAATGATCTAGTTGGTTTGGTTTTTATTTATTTGTATTTCTTTATATCGTCATTCTTCCGCACTGCACACATGGCTACGTCACCCTCACGTGATGGCTAGCATGCCTCTATTTAGGTCGGGGTGTGTCATTTGCAGTTGCAAATGCAAGAAGAAGGGCCCAAAAAAGGGGCACCAATTTCACACTATGTAACTTACTTCTTGGGGTGGTTCACAAGTGCATGGATTGTATTCAGTATTAACCGTAAAGAGGACAAGTGCGAGACTTTATCACAAAAGGTCTCATTGTAATTAGAAGTAAAACTACTCATCAGTATAAGTTATATTAAACTTCGTCAAATTTTTGACGTGAGATTGTTGTATTCTTCAACATAGCTTTCCTGAGGGGTTCAAATCTCATGCTTGAATTTCCCTACCATAATTTCCTTCTTATGGATAATGTCTTCTTATTAAGGAGCTTTTCACTGTGTTAAACAAGGTTTTTTATATTAGCATCCCACAAAATGTTGAATGCACTCCACATTAAAATATAATGTTAAATAACTTATTTACCCTACTATGCAATGACAATTTTGACCTTATTAGGTTTAAAAATAAAATTCTAAATACACCCCATATCACTTTTAGCATATTATTTATCTTCTCAACTATCAAAACCCTCCTACCCTCCATTGTTGAACAAAACCCTAACCAATAAAACTACAAACATGTTGATTGAGAAAAATTATTTTTGACGAATGAAACACAAAATCGATGTTTCGGAAGCTTCACATGAGATAAGACTTCATATTTTCATTGTTTTAGTGATTTCGATGACATCGATAATTATTTAATCTTGCGTTTGATGTGTTATTTAAACTTCTATGTTCATATTCATCTTTTAGGGATCACAAAGATTACATGAATAATTAAACACCTAGATTACTACCAAATATTAAAAATAGACGAGATGAGTTTTAATTGTGGAATTGAAAACAAACCCATATATGATTTAAATCCCAGGCGACATTTTTGTCAAATTCCAGTCGGCATTTTTAATCCAAATTAAAAGTTTTATCTCTGGCATTTGTTGGAGGTGCTGTGTTGGGAGTTCTTTTATTTGCCCTCTTCTTCTTTTGGATCCCTGCGGCTGTTCATCCGTTTGGCTCACCAGTGCGGCGATGGTGATGACGACTTCAACAGTTTCTTTGCTGCCACTTACAACGACCTGTTTGCTCTAATTGTTGCGTCTGCTGCCACTGCATCGAAATTCTGTCACAGATTATTAGTATTACAACTAATGATAAAATTGTTAAACAAAGTGAACTCTACACTAGTTTCTAGTACTACATACCCCGAGAAATACTGATGCACCAAATTATTGTAAGTGCCAGCACTTGTACCATCTGGTTTTGGCGAAGGGAATTAAATCATAGGCAACATTGTACCTTAATTTGCCCATTGCAGCATTGCAGATGTCAAACTAAACGTGCAGATGATTTGAAATTTTTCGGCAAACCAAACGTTCAAATCGTTGAATTTAGTCTCTGAAAATAAAAAATAAGTGTTATAAGATTTGAGAAATGTGGGGTGTATAGAAAATGTGGGGTGTATGTACAAAATATAAGTTGTATATTGAGAATGTGGGGTGTGGGGGTATTATAGGAATGTAAGTGGGGTGTGGGGGTATTATGAAAAAGTATATGTGGTGTATTAAGATAGTTCTCAAGTGAAAAAACAAATGTTGAATGTATTAAATTTGTAGAGTTTATTCAACAATTCGTGAAATGTTAATATAATAAGCCTTTAAACAATTGCTATTTTTGAGTTGTAGTTTAGGAAATTAGAAGTAATTGTAGTGTGGACTGTTAATGCCCAAAACCACTCCTTAAGGCTAAGGCCCAAAAAAGCATGAAGGACAGTCGAAAACCAGCCCGTGTCAACAATAGGCCCACAAACCCAACCTTGTGGAACAACCATATTAGGTATTCTCTCGTGAAAAAAAAAAAAAAAAAAAAAAAAAAAAAACCTTACCACAAGACTAGCAAATGACAGACGTTTAGTACTAAAGTCTAATGGTATTCCTCTTCACGTCTAAGTGAGAGATTTCGGTTTGATTCTCGTCAAAGGCGAATTTGAACCACATTATTACTAGTCTATTATAAGACTTAACCAACTCAACCTCCTCTTAATGTAGAAAATATTGTTTGTAAAAAAAAAACACGACTATAAAATGGCGGTGACACCCAGCCACGAACCCAAGTTCAAAGACCAAAATCGACTCTGGCTAGACTTGAAGTCTACATGTGATGTTAGCCTTACTAACCCTCCTGCAGATGAATTCAATTGACAGAACTTCACAAGATATTCATGCCGATTCATTAGTAAGTACTGGCCAATCTATTGGCGTCGCACTCGAAACTTGAGAAAGATCAAACGTCCGGCACAGAGAATTGTACGATAGCACTTGTACATGAACAACACAAAATTACTGTGACGACCAGAATTCCGGAAATTTAAGATTGAAGTACCCAAAAATACTGCAAGAAAGAAAGAAAGATTCAAGAAAAAGTCACAACTGCATTAAAAAATTTGTCTTCTGCATCACAATAGCTACAACTTCCCTAATTATTCAAAACTAAAACCAAAAAAAATCACACTCCGTTTAGAGAATGAGGCTCTGCTCCGCGCACCTCTCTAGACCGTGGCCTTTCTCAAAAGAGCCCGTGATTTCTCCTGCAGAAGGCGGCGCCACCACCGTCGCTACCCCAAAACTAAAACCCAAAATTCTCAACACAGCCATTAATCTCATACATCTCTTTCTTCGCTAGGAGTAGAAGAGCTCGAACCAACCTCGAAACCCCAATTCATACCAAAATAATCTTTTGTGCACAATTCTCTCCTATTCATCTCATCTAACTTAATAGCCCCATTCTCCCTCAAACGTTCTAACAAAGACTTGTACTTTTTGAGTTCCGGCAGTTCCAACCCTTCGTCAATCGGCTCCTCCCACCAAAAATTCCCATTCTCCTCGTCCATACCTTGGCCCCCTTCCTTTTCTTCCTCTCGACTCGACTCCAAATTTTTGTGCTCAACGCCGGCACTACCGGACTCAAGAACCTCCTCTTTGCGATCATCGGATGCACACCTTGCTTGTTCAGCAAGAAATCGATCAATGACAGATTCGGCGGAGGGGTGGCCAAAGAGGAAGGGCTTGTTACCGGGCGAAAAGGCTATAACCGCGAGGGTGGCGCCAGTCAAACAGCATAGATCAGTGGCCTTTCGGAACAAACCCTTGCGCCGCTTGGAGAATGTGGCCTTGAGGTAGTTCTTGTTGTTTATTTTCTTGATGTCGATCTTGTTCTTCCCCATGATGATGATTCTTATATCATCTGCACATGCGTACATACATACATACATACATATATATATATATACACACACACACACACACACACACACGTCGTCTTCTTCCTCTGAATCTTGTCCCAAATCAGTAGGCGCAGTACCTTTGTTTGTAGAATTGGTGGAGGGGGAATTGTGGGTGCCCAAAAGAAAAGGGATGCGGTTTTGTATTTATAAGCGAAGGGTTGGTGGGTTGGTGGGTTAGGGTTTCCAATCAAGAAACAAGAATAGATTGTTTCCCAAGTTAACACGGCATCCCAATTCCCGATGATGATAGGAAACCAATTAAATAAGATTTTGCCACGCTCTGAGGCACTGCAGTAGAAATTTTTAAATACGATTGAATACAAGTGATACACCACGTATTTTAATAGGAGTTGTGAGAAATTTTATTTTTAAGTTATTAATTTTTTAGTACACATATCACACTATTTGTATAGTGACACGTGATGTACCACCTCGTGTACCGATCACACTGAAAAATATCTCGCACTGCAGAAAATCTCAACAAAAAGTGCTTCATACTTTTACCAAGACCCTCTCCAAATTTGTGCGGTTAGTTTTTATTAGATACTGTTTGTATTTAATTTTGAATAAAAATATTTAAAATAATTTACCGCACGATGTACAATAAACAGATATGATTCACGGATCCCCAAGATCCTCACAAAGAGGATCCGGCGAGAATCCGGATTCGTGACAACAGTGCAGAAGAGGAGCCCCAAGGCTCTCAACTGAAAATATGCAGGCTCCAAGCAATCCAAGCAAGAAAGTTTCGGACTGGGAGAGATCTTTGTGCACTGTAAGAGAGAAAACCAAAAACAAAATATACAACGGAATCATCCAATTGACTCCGCAAATAGGGTTCTTCACAATCTTCACGACAAAGTGCAGTGTTAGAGACAGCGGAGTATCAAGCTTAATCAATCGGAGTTGTAGTTGATCATATATGTACACAGTTTTGCATAAAGTAAAACATTCCAGCATGCACATCTCCCCCGGTGTGAATATTTTTATTTTCATTGAGAATCCGACATTTGTGGAAGTAGCTGTCAAGCTGATCAAGGAAAACAAAAGCGAAACAACAAACGAAATAACATATACCTGAACCTCGCTTGACAGCATGAAAGAAAGTCCGACCTGATATTCCCAAAGACTCAAAACTAGATACATTTATCTAAGATTACAACAAAACCATATCCTCTGGTTCCTCAAATGTACACCAATATCTCTACAAGACCTATGAGTCTAACAAGTCGCAACTCTGTTCGTGCAGGAAAAAACAGTTTCCAGACCAATAATTAAGAGTATGTGCCCCCAACTTACATTTAGAATCACAGTACAGTACAATCGTCACCTGAAAATGGCTGCTGGAAAAGCTTTAACTTCTGACTACTGCCAACACCAACCACAAAATTCTGTCAAAGGCCAACCCATTTCACCCATCTGAAAACCCTGCTAATTCTGAAGGGCAGCTCGTAGTCCTTGGCAACAGCAGGCTCCCTCTTAGCAACCTCAGCTTCAGACCACACATACACCCCGCGTTCTTGACGACTGCCAGGTACAGTGTTATCCAGGATAAAAGCCACAAGGAATGCAACCACCATGTGTAATGAGAACAATGTGTTCAGCACATAGTTCACCTGCAAAAATAACATCTTGAGTAGAGTTTATTGGTTCTAAAATTCAACTACGCATGCAGGCCCAGCATGTTAGCGATACATCAGACTATGTCACCGATGTATCCAGTGTTCAGCACATAGCTCACCTGCAAAGAGAACGTCTTAAGCAGAGCTTATTACATATGCAGGGCCAGCATGTGTATTAGATTGACCATGCCACCAATATAGGCGTATGCTAGGGAAATGATGTGACAAACATTCTGGTTTCTATAGGGTTGATATGCAGAGTTACATCTAATAATTGAAACCAACCATCTACCATACTATTCAGCATACAAACCGCTTTCATCTTCACAAAACATGACAACCACAGAACAGAATTATAAAAGCTGCCCAACAGGAATAAAGTAGAAAAGGACCAGTTACCAAAATGGTTATCAGTATCTAAAAATGTCCCAAGTAATCTAAGTAAGGTGGTTGGTTCTATTTCCCAACCACCAAATGCTTTATCTGGGAAAACGAGGGAGAATCAGGGATTCATGATTCAATGAATTCATGACTAATGTATGCGCCACACCTAACACACAGAAGGGCAAAAAGGGAAAAGGAGGTATCAACATTAGTAAATTCTAAGTGTTACAGCATGTTAAGGGAGAAAGTTATGGTATGAGTATCGAGTCTTATATAAGTAACATGTGGGGGGCAAAAGTGTTGAAAAACACGCCCAATAGACCTTGTTCTTTAATGTAACCAACGGCAATAGACTAAACTAGCAAATATAGAAAAACTTAGAAACACACAAGAATTATACTGGTTCGGCAGAACTTTTGCCTACGTCCAGTTGTGATTTCTCTCTTTGATTAATAATAGAGATTACAGAACTTTTGCAAACCCTAGAACTAATCTCAAACCTCTCGGCTGTCTCTGGCTGTTTTCTCTCTAAAAAATTAAGCCCTCCCGCACCCTATTTATAGGCATAGGGTAGGCTTGCATGTCCCAAGGCTGATTGAATTCCTATTTCTAAGTGGATTAGGAAATTACACTTATCCAAATCCAAATAGACTTCTAGAAATCCAAACCTAAATTGAATAAGGAAAACTGAAATTCTTTCCTAATCCCTCTCGGACAAGAATCGGTATACCTCTAATTTTCCTAAAACAAAACCAAACCGACTAGGACATATTTGACGAGCCAAAATCCTAACAAAAAGAAGCTGTACAAGTAGCTTAACTTGTTTGACTTTTCCTATGTTAATTGGATTGTATGAACTCTATTTAAACGGTAGAATGGATAAAGAAAGGCAGCTGGTTATCTTTACTATCATGTGCAAAGGACTTGGATTTACTTGTAGAATGTCAGTTATTCATTTTGGTTTCCATTTTTTCCTCTAGTAGTCCAAATGGGTCAGTTGACCACAAAGCTGTTCTTTTCCTACTATTCAAAAATGCAACACGAAAAAAAAAATACAGAATACATTCTTCTTATCGCAGAAGGTCAAGTAGAAGCATACCCCTCCATATTTGCTGCGGAAGGGTCCATGAGAAGCTATAATGTATGGTTGAAAATAACTCGGAACAGATAAGTTGGAGTTTGGAGAGATGCCATATTGCTGAAAGTAGGCCGGTATTGAAAGCGAGAAAAACAAAGATAACCCGACTATGATAATATTCCTAGAGCTTCCAGCCTCACTATAACGTAGATTTGATAGGCCTAATGCAGCAAGCATCGCCCACATGAAGCACAGCAGTGCGGCAACCACAACTTGAGGAATAGATGCTAGAAAGCCTCCAACTTTACCTGCAAGTACAATAACTGAGATTAGATGCAATGTGAAATATGCACTTGATTCTACATATAACCCGCATCTTTTAAGTTGTACCAGGGGTAATGGATATCAAATCACCAAGATGTGGTGATATGAAGTAGCATGAGAAACAGAGGAAACATTCAAAACAAATGTTGACTGACTATAAGTTTCTAATATAGATAACGATGGTCAGGATCAAATAGCAAATTTCTACAGCAGAAAGATCTCTTCAGTCCAAGATAAAAAAGTACAACCATATTCCAAAGTAATTTTTGCAAGTCCAATAAGGTAACGTGTATAAAGCATTGTTTGAGCTTCACTGATTTAATTATTTTGAGACCAACCCCAAACCCTTTGATAGTTCAATCAGCTCCTAAAGCAAACAGACCAGGATTACAGTCAGTAACGAGAGAAAGAGTTCATCTAAAAATGCTTGAAGAGTAGTATTTCATGAAAATCACAATCCCAAACCATCATATGCCTGCAATTATTCTTACATGAGCAGACAAGCTTTGTTCATATCTTTTAAACAGTGGAGGACAACAATATGCTAACAATTTAATAGCACAGAAAAGATCTTGGCGGTGAGACAACTGCAGAATAAGCAAATGGTAATCCCGAAAAGTGTATAATGAAGATTGAGAACAGTGTAACCAAACGGGCCACAAACATATCATATGAGCAATTATAATCCACTAACAAAACCAAGAGATAACCAGCTATTATAGATATTCAAACTACACACTATATCTAAATGCTGCAATGCCCAACCAAAAGAGAAACTGACTAGTGGTCATACAGATTCTTGTTCAAGTACAGGCCCATTGTTACAATTGAAAACAGAAGTTTGACAAACACTTACCGACAAGGGATAAGACGATCAAAACGCATGCACCAATTCAACAGCTCTACGGCTTCCCATCTTAGTGACGGCTATTGTGTGCACATTTTCAGTTAAGCTTGTGGACCCTGTTCCAGTACCCCATAGACCAGCCAAGACACTGGAAAGACCTTCCAGACCAATCCCTCGACTAAGAACACCAGGAGTAGGAGGTCTGGATGCCACCAATAATGAAGATGCATGATATGAGCCAATCTAGGAATTTCATACACAAAGCAAAAGGTCAACCAAACTAATCAGACAGTATGACATGACAAATTAAATTAGCAACTTGACGGGAAAAAAAAGAATAATACCTAATGTTGTAAATAGTTTTCATTGTAACCAGTAATTTAGTAGTTCTTTAATATTTCCACAACACAAGTATAAAGGGCATTTCCAAGAGGCAATCCCATACACTGATGTAACCAAGATCTTTAAAAACCAGACTGGTGTTTTTCTAAAGTGAACAATTAAGACCATGAGACAATTAAGTTTTCACCTATCAACAAAGAAAGTATGAGTAGCTCTCAGTTTATTATCCTACCAAGTACATTGCCACCACCGCCAACATCTTCAATCTCAAAAGTTCTATGGGACCAAGACAGATGTAGAGAAATTTTTTATCAAGCATTAGTCCAGGACAACAAACCTTCCATTCATGAATCAAGCAGAGTTGAGAACTAATTTATCAAAACTGGGTTAAAGCCAACTCATTCATTTCATACTCATCTATTTAATGAAATTAGCATTCTAAATACATATATAAATCTGGAACTGTTATATAAATACTATAGCGGTGTCCATCAAATTCACAAGTCCAGCATGTGCTTAACAGTGAAACTAGAAAAAATATAAAAATATAAAAGTTCATGTTATAAAGCAACTATAACTCCAAGAAGTTTATATCCATAATGAATAACAAGAAAACTAACCGAATCAACTGATGCAATAATTGATACCACAGACATGACAAGGGCCATTTTCCAGTGGAAGACAGGAGTACCCCATTGTAATGGATAGGGAAACCTAAACCAGGGGGCAGATCTTAGTGCATGAGAAGTATCAACTCGACAGCTCTTCATCCTCAAAACATGCTTTCTGCAATGTTCAGATACTATGTTTGATGCAGGTACATTTATATCACAACCTTTATAGCTATATGCTCCAGCTTCAGTTAGTAGGAAAGCAGCCGACCATGTGATTGCCAGACCCAAAGGAACCTGGCAATTCAGACAGAACCATATCAATTTACAAAATTTAAAGAAGGCATCCATACAACTGTAACATACATGCTGAGATTAATAATCGTAAACAGTATGAATATGATATAAACCTAAATATTTCTAACTTACAGCGTATACCTTTTTTATTGTGTTACATGGAGGAACTTACCGCATATATAAGAAATACACGATGACCAAAAACGGAAATCTTCCGTAGGTACTGCAGAAAGTAAAATAATAGTGCGTTAGGTGTTTTGACACAGAAAAAAACAGTTGACATGAATAATCTATTATATACCTATAAAAGCAATGACTAAATACAATTCATATACTTACAAGAGAAAAAATAATGACCACTAGTATCTGCACCGCACCAATCTCAAGACAATTACCAACTAACGGGAAACCATAACTATAGAAAGAAAGTCCAACAGCAGCAATTGTTGGTGACACAACCACTGGATTGATCAACCTGAAAAGGAAAGGCAAACGAACTGACATTGAGTTATTGATTTTGCAGTGTTGTACAAAATGGGGTAATAGGGGGCATAAAAATGAGTACACAGGGTAAAGTGAGATTTTTTTTTCTAGAGTACAGAGGGTATAGGAAAAAATAAGCCTTTAATTCAATCAGCTCAAGCCACTACCAAGATTAATATTTCTAACAAATTAATGATCTATCAATTGGTTTAAACACTAGGCTAGTTTACAATATCACTATGCACCTCTACATTATTCGTGTGATTGCTTACTTGTCCTCTTCACTAATACTTGATCCCCTTTGATATATTAAAACTCAGTGTATATTATTCCATATAGTCATCCCACTGTTCACTTCCCTTTTTCATGTATAATAATGATGGCATATCAAATCATCCACAGCCAAGACCAAACCCCATGGAATAATTTGATCATTGCCAACTAAGCGGAATCAAATAATTCAATCCATATACCCAGTCTGAAATAAATTAAATAACTCTAGACTTGAAAATCAAATTGGTGGTTTCCAAGAGGCATCCTATATCACTTTTTTTCCCTTACACTAAAAAATTGTCTGTTTTCAACAATTTTTTCCATATTCGGGAACCCCTTACCTATCTTGCCAGAATTGAAAAGTAATTATTACAACTTACAAGCCACAGATCTGACATAAAAAGAAGAAGCTGCTATCTACTAAGGATCATTACATTTGTAACATATAATTAATAAACACCCACAAACATTCGAACCACTACCTCTATAACAAATGAAACTTATATCCATCCATCTACTCAAGCTCCGATTAGGCAATCCCAGTTGGTAGGTTTGGCAAGTATTTTAAAATAAACTAATCAAATACTAGGCATTCTGATTTTCCCTATTAGCAAAAAGAAAAAAAATAATATGAATAACCAAACATGAGGGGGATTTGGTAAAGATGCTGGAATCAAACCTCAAAAATATTGACATTAGTCCACTATATCCAAGTATTGCTTGAAAAGCTGAACCTATTATTACAGCCCCCTGTAGCTCCTTCATGATATGCTTAAAATTCTGCCATGACAAAGGATTACCATCAGTTGTTGATAAGAATTCACCAGTAGTGAAACAACTATTCAATTTCAAAGGGAAGTAAAAGATGAATGAAACTAATAAAATAAAGAAATCAGCAACTCTGAGGCACTCATAGTAATACTGAATAGCACAGTTTGTTTCATATAACGTATAACTGATGTTTGTATATGAAAATGACCTCTAGTTTACTACTTAGTTGCAGTTACTAAATATCATGAAATATATATACACACACAGTACACACGCATACATCAATTGGAGGTTGGACTAATTTTCCAACATTTATTTTGTAATGTTGAGGTTTCCTTCCAAAATTTAGGAAAACATTTATTTCAATTTTCAAGATTGAGATTATTCGAGCCATTATATGTCAATTATTTTTTAGTTAAAAATGACCTTTCTTTAAGTACATAATTATGCTTTATAAAGGCTACCCAGTGTACATTCAGCACACTTTGGCACCAAATAATTAAGAAACCTTACAAAATCTTCCCTTCATTTAGCACATGGCATGTAATTTGGAAGCCTCAAGTACTGCCTAGGTAATGTACAGGTGCAAAACTTGGATAAGTTCATGTGTGGTTGAATACTTGTGACATGGCCTAGAGGAGCTGATATTCTTCTAGTCCATCTCTTCATTGGTGTGCTATGTGTAAAAGTGGGGCTGAAAGCTTGTAGCATTTTCTTCTCTACCGTCCAATTGTGTTGTCTTAACGGTCAAGGCTGTTTAGGGTTGGCCTGAGTTGGGTGATTCCAGTTTCATGTGCTTCTTTGTTATGGGAGAGTTTTCTGTTTTTTGGAGATAAGAAGGGAGTGGTAATGGGGAGTTGTGCTGTGATGGCTAGTTTTTGGTTAGTTTAGGAGGATAGAAATAGAAGGGTAATTGATGACATGAGGGGGATGAATGTCGACAATTTGTGAGAAAGTCCAATTTCAGGCATCCTCATGGGCTTCTGTTCCTCCAGAGTTCAGGGACTATTCTTTTTCTGTTAAACTATCTTACTGGAAAGCAATAGTGTCTTAACATTTTGGTATTGTTATCCGTGGTATTCTTATGTATTTCTGCTGGTGGCTAATTTTATTTCTTAGAATTCTAGTCAGGTCTTAAAGGCTAGTAGGCTAGAGGAGAGTGGAAGGAAGGGAGAGTAATAATTTATACATATGTAAATACATGTGTGTGCATCTTTATTTACAATTTAAGATGAATATTAAATTTCGCAAACAATTTGAATGAACTAACCTACAAGAATAAAAAGGCATTTCAATAAAGTAGACGTGAAAAAGAAAGATACAACTGATATGATCCACTGAAAGACAGCTTTCTAATCAGTGAGTCTTTCTTCTTCAGAATTAGGGCAAAGTAATGGTTCATAGAACACACAAAATAAACAATAAAATAGAATTTCCTCCTCTATGTAAAGGAGTCCTGATAACTTCTATGAATCTCAGTAAAATGCAAATTTCATATTGAAGCAACAAAACACAACTTTTAATAATATAACCGTTCGGGCTGACCAACAAAGGAGAGAAAGTAAGAAGAGCACACAATACTATTAGATGGTAGACATCACGACTGTAGCCATCTCTAAGATGTGCGTTATTTAAAGGACTCAGAAATTTTATAAGACAACACTACAAATTTTCACTTTGTTTCAGCTGCAGACTTAACTATTGATTGGGATGTGATAAATACAGAGGGATATTCACTAAACTCCCAATCAAACTAAACAAAAGCAAGAACAGCAACATACATTTCCATTGAGTCCTTGAAATTCTGGGGAGTTGATTATCGCCAATGCAGGAGCTAGGTAAACAAATGAGGGGCCCTGTATCAAAGGCAATCTGGATCCAAACGATGTCTGCAAGAGAGTGGTCACTCCCGAAACAAAAAGCACTGTGGAGACAACATTTGCAGTATCCTCCTACATACACTAAATCCAGTCAAATCAAACTATCTAGCACTGTACCATTCAGAAAATAAATGTATAACATAAAATAAATAATATGTGCATAACTACTCACGTAAGTACCACCCATTGCTGGAACTATGACGAGTGGAATTAGAATTATCGAACCCAACATGGAGAGATAATGCTGGAACCCATAGAGGCCAATGGGAACTGCAACATTGTACCAACAAACACAAATCATATCAAAAACATAAAATTTGACTTCAGAGAAGCAAAACTCATTACATTTACAACGCTTAAGCAAGACAAATACATGAATAAACATCCAAATAATCACACAAATACATTTTCAATTATCAAAAAACCGAATCAAATTTGACGATCAACAATTGTACAAACACACCGAGCTCAAAATATACCAATTAAATTTATCGAAAGATAGCACATTTGTATGAGAAAAAACACTCACCAAGACCAGGTGTATCTCTGAGCTCATACTTCATATGAGAGTGCCTAGCCACATACCCATCATCATCAACCCCGTGTGGCAAAACATCAACCACCTCCTCACTCCTGGATGCCCTCCGCGGTTGCGAATTGGGCTCCGTGGGCGCGGTCGCAGCCTGCCCATTAACCCCACTGGGCCCATTGGCCGCACTCTTCGACCCTCCATCAGACTCCTTCCTCCTCTTCACCTTATTATCCTTTTCTGAAGGCGGCGCTGGCGCTGGTGGCGGGGTAGCCATCTCGCGCTCGGGTACACCATTGGGCGCCGGTTGGGGTCGAGCCCGACCAGCTTCGAGATCGGGCTGGGTTTGAGGCTCTCGGGGCCGGGGCGGCGGCAGGGATATCTGGCCAGAATCGCTGGCATTGGTCTCGCCGGAGAACTTGGGGCGGAAGCCGGTTTTCTTAGCCCAGGAAGAAGGGGGCATTGGGGAGGACTCCGGGACCGGAGGCCATGTACCCGGACGGGGTCTTGTTTTGGGGTCGGAGTTGGACATTTCGGAGGTGACTGAACTTAGTGGAGCATAGCTTGAATTGAAGGAATGACAGGGCAGATCTGGTGTTGTACGCCGAGGTTACGACTTTCGGAGAAATGCACCAAGTACAACACCAATAAATAAAACCCAGAGAGAGAGATGGAGGGTTTTGGAGTGAGAGTGAGTGCAGAAGGGGGAGAGAGAGAGAGAGAGAGAGAGAGAGAGAGAGAGAGAGAGAGAGAGAGAGAGAGAGAGAGACAACTAAGATAGAGGTGGAGAAGCTAAAACCGCGTTTCTTTAATTTCTACCGTAATAAACTTGTTTCCCGAGATTGAAGGATAGACTTAACAAATACTAGTTTTTTCCTGGTCAAACAAATACTAGTTAATATCATATCTTTTATTTTTCTGTTAGACACCTTATAAATTTGAGAGATGGTAGTATCGTCATCTTACTTTTTCATTTCCATATTTTTATTTGGATAATGTCAGGAACATTAAATTTATAGTAAAATATTATAACTACATGACATGGAAATATGATTATTGGATATTATTACTTAAGCGTTAATAAACGTACTCATTCTTATAAACGACACATAATTTATTATGCAAAATTTGTCTGCAAATGCAGTATCCCTAGCATTACCCATTTTGTTTCTCCATTAGGTATACTTTGATGTGGCATATTTAACTAACAAGGGGGAGAGAAGGTGCGGAGAAAGTGCAGGGGTTTTTCTGTGTGTCGGTAGTATAATTCTATCAATTTCACCGTTAAATAATCATGTGGAAAATATGAGACCCATATTTTTACTGATATAAATGTTAAGTTTGAGATACATGGACAAGAAACTAATAAAAAAATTGTAAAATTAAAAAAAAAAATATTCACAATTTTGGCTCTACATGTCATCAACCCACTCCGACGCCTAATCCCAGCAAATCCCTTTCCCATTCTCACAATCTCCCTCTTCGTCGGCTCGTCGCCGCAACAAGTCATGATGATCCTCGACACCAACAGCGAGCTCAAAAACCACTATAAGATAAGAAAGTTACTTGAGGCATGAGTTTGTTATGTGACTCAAAATTAAGGTGATAAAATATAATTTGTCCTAATTACTATCTTGAATATCTTTAAAGCTCAACAACCTTCTTTCGAAATAGGGGTGAGTAAATAGCCTCTTTAATGTTTAAGAACTCGTTTGGATGTGTTTTTAAAATGACTTAAAGCGCTTTTGGTGAAAATGTTTTTGGAACCAATCCTTAGTAAAAATGCAAGTGAATTTTAGAAAACCACTTAAAGTGCTTTCTGCAAGAAACACAAGTTATGTAATTCTTCCAAAAAGCACTTTAAGTGCTTTTTGTAACCAAAAAACATTTTTTCTAAAAGCGCTTCACATCCAAACGAGCCCTAATTCAGTACCATTAGACAAAATTATATAGACAATGTCATACTCCTTAATCAGGTTAGATGGGCTTGAAATGGTTGTTAAAGTATATTTTAGGTATAAAGTTAGTAAAATAGATGCGTTCACGTTTTGCATTATTTGTCAGACAACTAACTTCCGCACAAGGCAAACCTATAAATAAATTAATTGAATTGGTATGTATAAGAAAATTTAAAATTTCATTCAATCAACCATGCAATAAATAATATCCAAAAATTTAAAACAAATAATCCAAACAAAGGAAATTGTTCAAACAAACCAAAAAAAATTAAAGGGGTTTGGTCACTAGCGAAACTCGGCCACATGTCTAAAAATCTAATCTTTCATTAGAGCGGATGCCTTTTGAAAATAAAAAATCTCCAGGGTAGTATCTTCGGGATTCTCCACTTGAGCAAAATTAGTCTCGATCATCTAAGGACATGAGTGATACTCAGCTATAGCATAAGAGGAAGCTTAGCAAATACGGGACCAATGGTCTTTGACACCACAGCGATGCACATACCTGCTTCTATGGTGGCGGGTACTTTGCACTTATTATTTAAGTTTGAGACTTTAGGAGCGAGGTTGTCACTCTTTGAGGCTTGGTTTATTCCCTTGCATGGGTCATTGCTCTGTAAACCTTGGGCTTTTGGCTTAAGGTTTAAGCCCTTACTACACCTACCACGCCTATAGCATCCGTTTAGGCCTCGATTCATATTGGCATGTGCTTCAAGCACAACAGTTGAGCCAGTAGGTCTAACTTGATGATTTTTCATCAATAGTTAGTTTTGCTTTTTTGCAAGTAGTTAGACAAAGATCAAATTCGAAAATTTTGTAATTCTTGTGCCCTATGTTGTTACTTTAGGACAATATTGGTGGTATGAAAACTTGAATAGTTTTTTCTCTGGGAGATTCTGTTTAGTCAAGTCATCTTTAAAAAACTTGAGAAGTGATTAGATTCTACAAACTTCATAATTGTATTCATTCATAGACTTCAAATATTGGAAGTGTAAATGTTGCTAGTTGTATCTTACTTTAGGCAATAAGATATATGTAATGATCCAAGAGCTATTCCAAAGTGAGCCATAAAGCTCTTGAATCCTCTTCAGTGGAGTACTCGGTATGCCGGGTACTCGGCCGGGAGTGCGTCATGCATATGGCTTCATATAAAGATTATGGTGGTTGCTTTTTTAGCTTTGCCAACCAGGTTATCCGGATTAGCTTGAATGGTGGCCCTAAGACTCTTTACAGTAAGGTGGAGCTTTACATCATGGATCCACTTAAGGTAGTTTCTTCTAGAGACTTCCATAGCGTAAAGTCAAGTTTGTTCAAATTCGACATGTCACTATAACCAAGGGAACAAGGTTGTGGTTAGTGGAATGAATGAAAAAATCGTCCATACACACAAAGTATAACATTTAGGTTCTATTATACATGTTTTGGTTTAAATTTACGTGAAAATTGCTGGTTTCATAGGTGTAGTGTTTTAAGTAAACTTCAGGTTTCTATGACACTTATTCGAAACTTTTGGTTCGAATTTATGAACTTCAAGTTCATGGGTACCTGCAAGCAAACGTAATATATACAGAACAATAATATATAAAACAAAAAGTTAATGAAGTTTATAGGGCCAACCATCTGAGATGTGTCGCAACCCATGAATTGAGGCTGATTAGTTACTGCTGCGCTGCAAGCCAACATAGGGAACGGGCAGAGAGCAGAAACTCATAAACTGGGCTTTTTTGGTTGGTTCAGTAGAACAAGGGCACAATGGGAGCCAAAACAAGAAGCAGTGGTGCCCAAGCCCAAAAACTGGGCTGGGTTCATGTGGGCCGAGTGCAGGGGAAGCCCAACATGGCTCAAGTGGTAGACTGGAGAAAAGCCCAGTGAGGCTGGGTTGGGGTTTCACCGATGAATCTAGTGGCGCCTTGACAGACGGTGATGATCTCAAGCCAAGGAGGTCGGTGTGAGTCATAAGTTTGTCTAGGAACCTTAAAATTGCAACTGGGAAGAATATCTGGATGTCGAGGTCCAAATTCATGGGGATTCGAATTGAATCTCACAAAATCTCGACGAGATTCGACGTGAATCTCAAATTAAATCGTCAGAGACAATGAGATTTCAGCAAAAGAAAGATTGCAAGGAGAGAGGGTGCATTAAAGAGAGATAAAGAGAGGATAGTGCTCCACGAATTTGAAAATACGTTCTCTCGTGTAAGTGCCTTTTTTTTTATAGTAAACCATAAACAGGATACTTACTCTTCAAATAATACAAAACCTAAGAGGATAGAATCACGAGATTACATTGGAATTCCAAACCAAATCACACAACGTTAAATATTAATTACAACAATTTTGCTATTTTTCTTCTTTTGTTAAAATTTTAGTTCTTCAACCAAAAAATTAATTAAAATTTTGTTGTGCGTGCTAGTAGAATGCATGTGACATAAGTAAGAGAAAAAAGATTAATTCACAAACTCATATAACCCTCAGAACCTATATTATCATGTTGATTATGATATCCTTTATGATTAAGGTTGTTTGTACCACCGTTGATGACGTAACAATCATGAAAGGAATTTTGTATCATCGTCATTACAACCATGTTGAAGTTGACATGATTTCTAATAATTTAGTCGGGCAGGCTTTGAGGAGTATAGAAACGCCCAATTATGCTCTCACTCTAATATCCGAATGGTTTATCAAATGATGAATGTAGACTTTGAACCTGTTGTCCATATACAAACCGTCATTTCATGGACAAGGTCCTGTCACTACCTGATTTTTTTTGCTCTGAACAAACGATATTATTTACATTAAGAAATAAATTAATGAACTTAGTCTCACAATGTGCTAGCAATAATATGATTCAAATTCGTTTTTGGCGAGAATCGAAGCTAAGAGCTCTAACTTACAAATAAAAATGAATACTACTAGACCGTAAAACTAAGTAGCAATCGTTCAACATAACGGCAGAAGAACAAAGTCCTGAAATGTAACCGTAGTACATGACAATTATTCATTTATTTATATAACAATATACTTTGTATAATTTAAGGTTTAATAGCAGATTCACATGCCTGTTAACATCATGCTTTATTAAGCTTAAGGTCTTAAACTAATTAAGGTGGGACCTTGCCCTGACAATCGTGAATACAATTAATTGTCTCTTGTGGAATTTTTCCATTATTCATATTATTCCGTATTTTAAAAACATAAAAGTCGTTTAAGTGCAATAACTGCGCCAAGTGCTAAATTAATCTAAGCAGTTCTTTTCAGGTTCGCTTCTTTCGGTGTTTATACAAATAGATGTTCATAGTTTTTAGGGTGTGGACCTCTTCAAAGCTTATGGAATTTGTATGATTATTTTATCTTCCAAAATGTACCAAAGTGTTATTTTTTTTCCCAAGTACCAAAGTGTTATTAACTATGGTTTTTTATTTCACATGGGAGCCGTTATTATTCTTGACCTCATTCGTCTATCGCCAAGAACTTTATTGAACAAACGATATTATCTACACTAAGAAGGAGGGGGTGAACTTAGCCTTACAATGCGCTAACATGAGTTTATATTTTAACTATACCATAAAATAAAATGGGTCTATAGATAAATTATTGAACTATCAATCAACAAATGGGTAGATTGAAATAGTAGATGATGTCATGGGATCGGAATTGAAAAGGGTGATCGCAGAACGATGAAAAGATAGTGAAGGGTGATTGTGGCCTTCGACAATGTCGAGCGAAGTGCCTGCAGGATTGAGTTTAGGTTTGTTGAAGAGAATAAAGGGACTATGATGTTGTCGTTGACGACATCACCCTCTTCTTCCGGTCACCATTTTCTCTCCTAAAGTTTTTGTTCTTTGGAAATCCAATGAATCAATTCTCTTTTCACCCAATTCCGCATGGACCTTTGTCACTGGTCGTTCCAGAAATTAGAATATTTTAAATTCTTGAAGGTGTAAAAGGACCATAATGCCTTTAAAAGCAAGAAGGTTAACTTTTGTTGACCCTTGTGGCGTGACAAATATGACCTATTGTATAGTAATATAAAAAAAAATTAATAATAAGGAATTGTTATTGGCACTCCAAAATTTTTATTTTATACTTCAAACTTTCTATATTTGGAAAGAAAAATACACTTGTGAGGAGTGTAGAATGAGATTTTTGGAGTGCCAATAACATTTCTCTAAAAATATTTATGATAAAAGATTTAAGAGGTAACATAGGCTCATGTTTGTCTTGCAACTTATACAATGTTTTATAGGATTTCTCCTCATTTATAAATATCAGTTTTTAGGTTCGAATTGCCACGTTACATGTGACAACCCGTCCCTACTTTTACAATTTTATTAATTTTAAAAGAATGAATTGACGAAAATACCCTAAAGGTGAGATTGTTGACTTTTGTTGACTGTCATTTCGTGACGTGTACGAGCCACTATTTTACTGTATTCTTGAAGTACTCGACAGTACGAACACATAAGCGCAAGCGGAAATGAATTTGGAGCTACGACGAAGATTTTACGGAACTATAAAACGTGAAGGGCGATTTGGTAATTTCATATCTAGAGATATATTTTATGTCTTGTTTTGTGAGCCACGTGGGGCCCACACCCCACTCTTCCCTTTCTCCTGTGTCCCTTTTCAAACCTTTGGGACCTATCCCTTACTGCCACCTCACCTTGTCTCTCTCGACCCTCTCTTCCCTCAAATTCTCTCATTATCTTCTTGGGATGAATATCTCTAGTTGCTTAGTGTAAATCTAAGTGTGATAAGTGATTTTGGGTAGGTTTTGTGACATAAATAATTTGGAAAAACTATTTCCTAGTTTTCTGGTGAAGGACATTTGGGTTGTAGGCCTTTTCCGGCCACTTTTCATCCACAACTGAGAACCAAAATGGTATAATTCGAATCCTTGCCCTCCTAGCTTCATTTTGGTAATTAAATGGTGAGTTATGGTTGAGATTTGAGCTCGATCGGAGCTCGGGAAGCTATCTCGACCAACCAGCTCAGAAACCGACGACCTGACCCGTGACGAGGACTTGGTCGACCCGTTTCAAAACAAAAAAAGGGCCCAAACCCGGATATGACCTAGATCCATTTCAGATTTGAAGGGAATATTCTCTTGGAATATTCTGTTAACCTTTCAATTAACTCTAACAGAATATTCCATCTAAGAATGGAATATTCCGTTAAAGTTCATTGTTGATCGTTAGTTGACTTTTGTTGAATTTTTTTCGAAATTTTCTCGAAAACCCTCATAAGCTAATTTCAACGTCCTGATTTCGTTTTTGACATCCATTTAGTGAAATTCTAAAGTTTTAACATAGTTGAGCACTTGGGTGTCTCAGTTGACTTTTTAAGGTTAACAGTTGACTTTTTACAAAATTTATCGGGGACCCCTTCTTAGTGTATCTCGATGTTCTGATTATAAATCTGCACTCCGTTTTCTCAAATTTAATCGTTTTAGTTGAGTTTTACTAAGGGGTCCCAATATTATGCCTAGGTGCAATTACTATCAAAGACTCCGGCTTCCTAACTTGAACGGATATGACATCGCAAGTACATGTGAGTGAGTCTTTTCTTTTATATAATATATATATATATATATATATATATATATATATATAAAATTGTTAGTTTCCATTTATACATTTCATAAAGAGTTTTCTACAGTATGTCTATATTAGCGTGGTGTTTATAAGATTTAGCACAATGATAGAAATTATGAAGTTATGCTACGTTCTACGAGATGCACAGGTATGCGTGTTATTATTGATGCCTTTATTATATTTATGACAATGAATAATATCATAGTGACGTGAATTATCAATTTACCATTGTATGATTTTATTTACGTTATCTGCTCATCGTTGCTGCATCGGTGTTAGTACTCGCCCGGGCTAGGGCCAGTCTTTCATGTGTATGTTCACATCGCACCGTACACTCACTTTGGATCCATTGGATGTGTCAATCCTATCTTAGATTGTTATAGGCAATTATGACTCGTATGTGATGTGCATAGTGCTAGTCTTCACGTGATTGTATTACTAGAGCGTAAATCATTGTTACACACAGACTTGTTCATGTCAGAATACCTCTGCATGAACTCGTGTGTCAGCATGTGCCGATGAGCACTTGATGTGATATATTTATTTCTGCAAGATATTGTGATTTCTAGAAGTTATATGCTTATCTACAAAATTTGTGACACATTGAAGTTTTGAGATATTACAGGCTACGATAAGTATTTTCATACTATACGTATTATGTATATTTTGAAAACTATACTTGTTTTACGGCGAGGGATTATAAAGTTTTCAAAAATGTTTTTTTATAAAACTTTATTTTTAGGCCCACTCACCCTTATTTTTCGTCATTCCAGGTTTAGTAGCTGAGCTTTCGTGTCGACGAGGATTCTTGGCAAATCTTGGTATAGATGGTTACCTTCGATGGTATGATTCTCATCCTACTTTTCTTTACTTATGCTTTGACATCACGTGCGAAATGAGTTCATTCCCGTTGACAAGTGCACTCTTATATTTAGGCACTTTTAGGTTTAAATTTATTCACATTTTCCACATCACTACACTTTATGGCTACGTCACCCTTCTGGTGTCGGCCAGCACAACTCAATTCGGAGTCCACGTGGACATTCTGAGTCATGATGTATCATTACGCATTCCACAATAGTTTGAGCGAGTGTGATATATATATGTGTGTGTGTGTATATATATATATATGTAGGAATCGGTAACCTGATTTTGTTATTTATAACATTATTGCTACATTAGTGTGAATACAATATGTTAATATCATACTCATGAGTTCAACATATAAGTATCACACTCAAATTTTCTACTTTACTGTGTAAATGTGATTTCTACATACATTCAATATATTAGTTTCACGATCACTTTTTTTTTCTGACCAATGATAAAGGCCTTGCTATTAAAAGAAGTGCTCTATTTTAAAGGAGGATAATGTTAAAGAGATCAAAAATTTAAATCAGGTACAAATAGAAAATAAGTATGTTAATAATTCAATCATCAATTATCATATCATTTGATTTACAATTTTTTTTATCAAATGATGTGGTACAAATATAAAATAAGTATCTCTACTAATTAATAAAACACTCATTGTCAACCAAAATCTTATGAAATTACCAGTTTAACCTGTAATTAAAACATAACATGAATAAGAAATATGGGTCAGAAATGTAATTTCACACAACCAAATTTTAATAAGAAATATGGGTTAGAAATGTAATTTCACACAACTAAATTTTGCTTTTTTTTTTTCAAAGTCTCACCTACATGTAATTCTAACATTCTCTATCAGTCCTTCTATTTCAAAAACAAAAATAAAAATTTTTCTCACACACTTTGTGTGTGCCCATACGCTAGTGTTAATAATTCAATTATCAACAATCATATCATTTGATTTACAAATTTAGTTTAAAAAAAGTTTAGATTCTCTAAAAAGAAGTAAAAAAAAACCCTAATTTCCCAGCCCAACTCTTACTAAAACCCTAAACTCGATTCATCTCTCGTGTTTCCCACCACCTCTCGTCTCCTGCGTCGCCTCTTGCAGGCGCTTCACCCTCTCCCACCCTCGTCTCTCTCTCTCTCTCTCTCTCTTCTCAGTCGGTGAGTTCTCTCCCTCTCTCTCAATAGGTAATCTCAATCTATTCTTTGATTTCACTTATAAATTTCGCTATGTTTTGCCCTCGTGTTTGTGCTATTGGAAATGTCATTCACTGCTTGATATTGGTTGATAGGCTAAATGTATGTTCAAATTCATGTCGAAAATTTTGCTTTTTTTCTTGCCCCCTCATATTCTTCTGGGGAAAAATTGAAAACTGGCTACGAATTGAATCATCTGATTTAGAATAATACCCAAATTAATATTGATTCAGTTTTTTCCTGTCAATTTGGAATATTGTTGGCTAAAGTTTGTAAATAATATTTCTGCTTGACTTATCTATATGCCATACCTGTATCCTGAATTTTTGAGTTTTCCTGAATCATTGTATCGCAATGTATTGTATCACCTTGTATTGCTTTACCTGTTCCTGTTTCCAGCGGTGTAGTTGAGATTTTATTTTTTGTCCACTATGTTGCTGGTTCTCACTTTAGAAGAATAATGTTAGAGCTAACATTGAGATTTGAGAATGTATTGCTCTTTTGATATATCAAATCGATCTAATGCCTGCTAGATTAATGTGGATGGAGAGTATATGTAATACTGCTCGGCAAAATTATTGCAATTATTTTCATGGATGGATTTGGATAGACGAATAAAGGGGTTCCATGTACTTTTATAATAATTGATGTGGTTGGTTGTGAATTCTTAATGACGGTGTACTTAATTTTTTCCCAGAAAGTAGGACTATATGATCTAAGGGAACAATGAGGTTGGAAAAGTGCTGGTTTTGTTCCTCTACTGTATACCCCGGACATGGGATTCAGTTTGTTCGCAATGACGCAAAGGTAAAGTTGTTATCCACTCTCTACTAAAGCACAAAAGTAGTTGTATTCTAATTGTAGTAATCTCAACATGGACTATGACGTAGCCATACAGATGCACTCGTGAGCCTTAAGTTTGAAAATGTTGCTCATTTTAGTCCTGAACAGCTGAACCTATTTGGTTTTCCAGTCCTATAATCAAACAGTGCCTGATTTACTGTTGGTTAAGTCAGCTTAGATTAGTTTTAGTTTACATGGTTATGTCAAGCATGCTTTTTATAATAATTCCCTTCGGGGTTGATGCTACGATGAGTCAATTTATTTGGTACTCTGTTTGGGGTTTTGTTTTGGACTGAGGTCCTCAAGTCGGGTTAATTTCTTGATCTTTTAGTTCAGATTTATTCCAGAAATAGTTTTCTTTTTCTTAGCATCTTATGCTTTCACTGTGAAACGGATGATGGTTACTGATAACACTCACATTGCTCCTGAGGCTATATGATGTGTGACCGGATTACCTGACACCGTTCCTCTTCTAGATTTTTCGATTCTGTAGATCCAAATGCCACAAGAACTTTAAGATGAAGAGGAATCCTCGAAAGGTGAAGTGGACTAAGGCCTATAGGCGGTTGCGTGGAAAGGACATGACACAGGTAAACAAACTTTGATCTCTCTTAATCCTATTATTGTTACAGACATTTTAGTAAATATCGTTTAATTGCTTGTGTAATATCCTGTTAGTTATGTTACTCTTTTCTTTCTATCTGCAGGACTCCACTTTTGAGTTTGAGAGAAAACGAAATAGGCCTGAGAGATACGACAGGAGTCTTACAGAAAACACTCTGAAGGCAATTAAGAAGATCGATAAAGTCAGAATTGAGAGAGAGGCCAGACACCACAAGAATAGGTACATTCCTCCTCTTCCCTTTTAACCTTCTGTAGAAAACAGTAAAACCTGTTTTTGGTTTTCTTCATCTTACGAAACTTGTTAAAAACTTGTGCAGGATGAAGGGCAAGAATGTCAAAGAGCAAAATGAGAAAAGGAAAGAGATTGACCATAGCCTCCACTTGGTCATATCTCCGATCGCGCAACAGCAAGAGCCATCACTCGTCAAGGTTTCCCAACCATATCTCGAGAAACACGTTGCCATGGAGGAGTAAATTTATTGTTTCAGCAGTCATGGTTTTATCCGTCTCTTTTGCATCCACAGTTCCAACAAGTAGCAAGACGATTGTTTCTGTGTGGATTGAAGTTTTGGATCCCGTTTTCCTTCTCATGAATTTGTAGCGTCGGATCTAAATTATGTTCGTCGAGCCCCAGGTCTGTTGTAAAACGTTTATAACAAGATATTCTATATGTAAGTTTTTGAATTTATGGTCCAACAGTTTTGGGACTTTATACATTTGATTTGAGTAGTTAAATTTGCCTAGGGATTGCGTCAAGTCAATTTGAAGAATTCATATCAGCCATATCCCAGTTAATGCACCTTCGTTGATATGGGAAAAGCTTGGGTGCTACTGTGATACCAACAGTTACGAATCATTTTAATAAAGTGTTTAGTTAGAGCAGTTCCAGCGTGGAACCCCCCTCCCAAAAAACCCCCCCAAAGGCAATACATTATGTTATCCACCTAGTGAACAGTAACTGCCTTTAATGAACAGTAACCGCGTTTTGCTTCTTCATTGTTGCACTTCAATAGCCCTGACAGTAGGTAATAAAATAATACAAATAATTTTATTTGTAATTTTGAATAAGATTTTTAATCGTTCTCGTTGCGTCACGTGTCATCATCCAAGCTGTGGGTCAGATCTGCAGGCCCAGCCGTTTTGGAAACTTTGATAGAAGCAGGCAACGACGAGTACATAACTCTTGGACGATTATTTTGTCCGTAATAGTGCATTCCCTGATACATACTTTAGACGTCGTTTTAGAATGGAACGACATTTGTTCAACAAAATCATGATTGCTGTTTGCAACCATGATTCTTACTTTGTGCAAAAGAATGATGCTTTTGGTGCTATAGGTCTCATTCCTCAGCAAAAAATTACTGCTGCCTTGCGGATGCTTGCATATGGAGCATTTGTAGACCAAGTGGATGAGATAACGAGGATGGGGAAGTCAACCATTCTTGAGTCCTTGATGAGGTTTTGCGGTAATCGAATCTATCTACACCGCAGAGTACCTCCGGAAACCTACTGACATGGATTTGCAAAGGCTTCTGAAGAAGGGCGAGATGCGAGGTTTTCCTAGGATGATTGGAAGCATCGATTGTATACATTGGAAATGGAAAAACTATCCAAGTGCATGACAAGGCGCTTATGGGGACAGAAAAGAAGCAAAAAGTATCATTTTGGAGGCGATGACATCTTTTGATATATGGATTTGGCATGTTTTTTTCGGGGTTCCGGGAGCTCAAAATGACCTTAACGTCCTTGCCCAATCCTCAGTGTTCAACGATGTCTTACAAGGAAAGGCACCAAAAGTCACGTATTGCGTCAACGGATGTATGTACGATGGGCCATACTACCCAGTAGACAGCATTTACCCAAGGTGGTCAACATTTGTCAAAACAGTGCCACGTCTGCGAAGTGCAAAGGAAAAACACTTGGGTGCAGGAAGGATGTGGAGTGTTGTTTTGGTATCCTCCAAGCTCTCTGGGCGATCGTCAGGGGTGCTGCCAGATTGTTTGATGTAAAGTCGTTTCGATCCAGCATGATGACGTGCATCATTCTTCATAACATGATTGTGGAAGATGAGTACGATGTGCCGTTGATGAATATGAGCCAGACACGATGAACAATTCAAGAACACGTATATATTGTGCTCATGACGCCACCGAAGAACCCGTGCAACATGAGCCGTTAGAAATGGATGGACGTTACAATGAATTGATCATTCAACGATATACTGCACTTCAAAGGCCATATATGCACAATACCCAGCAAATTGATTTGATAAAGCACTAGTGGGAATTGAAACAAACTCAAGATACTTAAGTTCATTTAGTGTGTTTGTTTTTTTTTGGTGTGTTTTTTTTTTAGTTCATTTAGTGAGTATTTTATTATTTGGTATGTTTATGTAATTTTATTTGGTGTGTTTAAATGTCTTTTGAATAAAGATTCTCTTAGTATAAATAAATTACCAAATTAAATAAATATACTCTTAGTTTAAATAAAGTACTAAAATCAATAAATTGGAAACAACATAAAGTACTCTATTCAATAAATAAGAAATTACAACCCAAAGTGATTGGAAAATTATGGGCTCCGATTACAAAAAGTACTCTATTCATCATTACTTAACCAATTTGTGGTGCTAGGATGATCTTCTCTTGTCGTGCTAGGACCATCTCTTCTTGCTCTCGCTTCTCTTGCACGCCTCTTTCGCATCACTTCCGCTTTCTCCGACTTCCAAAAATATTTAGAATTTGGAGACTTCCTTTCTAAAGGCGTGTTCATAATGTCATGATCTTGTTGAGCCATTCTTTCTTCTGTAACATGTTCCCTTTCTTGCCTAAATAGCTTTCTTTCTCTCTCATTAGCTTGAAATGCTCTCTCAACATTTGCACCTTTTGCCTCCTCTCTAGCCTTATCAGCCTCAAATTTTGCCATTTCCCGCGCCAAAGTCAATTCACCTTGGCGAGCAAGTTCTTCCATATAGTTTGCATAATCATTCTTGGAAGCACTCCCTTTTCTCTTTGAAGCCTTCTTACCTTGAGGCCTAATTGGATAATGGGTCGATTCCGACGCTTGTTCAGGGGGGCGTTTCGGGCACTTCTTTTGCTTCATCTTCATGAACATGCGAGGCATGATCGGGTGTAGAGTGTAGATGGGTGCTGTTCATGAAAACTTTTGGACCGACATGCACAACTTTGAATTTAGGACAATCTTTGACAATATTCCAACATTCCCACTGGTTGAATGATTTTTTTGCTTTTGGTTTTGGCACCATACCAAGCTTGTGCTTGAAGTTGCTACACAATGCGGGATAAGAAATAATTATAATGAAAGTAGGTAACAAATAAATAATACAAACAAATAATTATAATGAAAGTAGGTAACAAATAAATAATACAAACAAATAATTATAATGTAAATTTGGGTATAGTACAAACAAATAAATAATATATTGTTACCTGATCCGCGTAATTTTCCCCACTTTGACGATTAGTACTAGCTTGTGCCAAGGCGTCTCTCCACGTACTAAACGATTGGCTAAGTAATTTTCAACAACTGGACATAGATTCTTTGGTTCTTTTCCCACCCATTTTCTCAAGATAATTGGTATGAATAAGACTCCACATTTCTCGCAACTGCATCTCATTAAGCGAACTATAAGTGACTTCAACCCAGCTAGTACACAACTCAACATCTTCAAGAAGCGTCCAATTCGTACTTGCATGAGTAGTCATTTTTTTGAAAAAAATTGGATTGAAACTTTGAGAGAAAGATAAGAATGTGGTTGAAAGTAGTTGAGAAAATATAAAATTGTGGTGTAAGGTAGATGATAATGAGAAAGTATTTATAGAAAGGTACAAACAATTTTTTTTGGATTTTTATTCATTTTTAATTTTTTTTATTCAACTAATTAATCTCTGCCGTTGTATTTTTAAAAAATTGAATTCCAACACTCCAGATTGTGCCACGTGGCACAACGGTAACATTTTTGAATTTTAAAACTATTTTTTATTTATTTATAAAGGAGAATAATATCAACCGTTGATCTCAGATCCAACGGTTGATATTAAATAAGATTTATTTTATTTTATTTACCGTTGCAAATCTAACAGTCCACATTTTCTTGCCGTTGAGATCCAACGGACCATGGGAAGCCATGTGGCTTCCCAACGGTAACAATTTGAAACTGCTGTGGGCCACGTTCGCTGAAAACATGTTGCGTGACGCGCTCCTATGTGCGGGTGTAGTGCACGCGCTTGATAGAAAAAAATAAAAAAAAGGCTAACGCCTGGCTGACTTCAGCCTTGCGTCGTGGGTTGGCAATTCATGACAGGCCTAGTGCTCGGGCCTGCCCTGTCCCTTGGGCTCCCACACGCTGGAGTCAATAGGCCGGGCTCTCGGGCCCTGTTTGCTGGCCTGACTCCCGAGCTCCAACCAACGTTGTAAGTGCTCTTAAGGCTCACTTTTCAAGGCTCGATAGCTACCTTTTTATTTCCTCCTGAGGCTCCATGAACCTTTCAAAATATAGCCTGTTATTTCTTTTGCCCATAACACCTCATTGAACATGGGAGCATATGGAACATTTTGGTTCGCAACCCTCAATTGGTGACGAGCATTACCATCATATTAATTGGTTTGACATGTTTAAATTTTAAAAGGGTTTTTATCATAAATGGTCCCTGAAATTGACCTACCTCATCAAAATGGTCACTGAAATTGAAAATCGATCAATGTTGTCCTTGAAATTGGGTGTCCCAAATCAATGTGGTCATTCCGTCACAATTTTGTCGAAAATTCTGTTATGTGCTGATGTGTCACACAAGTGGGTCCCACAATGTAATTAAATATTTCCATGTGGATTAAAAATATTTAAATAATAATTAAAAAATTATTTTATACAATTAAAAACAAAACAAAAAAAGGAAAAAAAAAAGAAGAAGCTTGTTCCCTTCCTACCCAAAAACCCTAGCAAAATATGGGAAAATTTGATAGCAATCAATACCTTGTAAAGATTGATTTTGGTAATCTGGTAAGAGACGCCGACCCAATGGGTCTTAGCCATTCGGTACCCCAATCCCCAGTTGGGAAGAAACTGGGCTACCTCGAAAAGGTTTTTCTTCTTCTTCTTCTTCTTCCGCTTGGATTTCTTTGAAGCTGAAGAAGGAGAAGCGGCGACAGAAGTTGGGTTTTGGGAGACGGTGCTAAAGCTTCTAAGGAAGCTCGATGCGAGCCTCTAGAGGCCTCCGGTTCGATTTGTTAATGGTGAGTCGCTGGGTAGGAAGGAAAGAAGAAGATGAATAGTCATCTTTTTTTTTAATTGTATAAAATAATTTTTTAATTATTATTCAAATATTTTTAATCCACATGGCCATATTTAATTACATTGTGGGACCTACTTGTGCGCTACATCAGCACATAACATAATTTTTGACAGAATTGTAATGGAAGGTTTACATTGATTTGCGACACCTAATTTCAAGGACCACATTGATTGATTTTCAATTTCAAGGACTAGCTTGATGAGGTTGATCAATTTCAGGGACCATTTGTGATAAAAACCCATTTTAAAATTTGTGCCGGAAGTAGGTGGTCTTTTCCACAATGGTGGAAAGTTGTGCCTTTGCATTTCGGTGTGAGTTCAAACCACGTTGGCAAAGAAAAATATTTGTGCAGGAAAACGATTAAATCATTCATCCAATGATAATGAATTGTGGTGATGCTTACAAACATTAAAAAATGCACCCTTGAATAGGGCTGAGTTCGGT